TGCGATGAGTGTGCCCCTGGGTACTACGGAGACCCACTGCAGCCTGGTGGGCGCTGCCTGCCCTGCCAGTGCCACGATAACATCGACATGACAGACCCAGAAGCATGTGACCGGCGTACAGGACACTGCCTGCGCTGCCTCTACAACACAGCGGGGCCCCACTGCGCCGAGTGCCAGCCTGGCTACTACGGGGATGCCACACGGCACAGCTGCAGGCGTGAGTACCCACAGCCACACTGAGAGAGACTTGCCTTCAGGGCCCTGCAAGTCCCTGGAGACAATGTGCACCCATGGTTGCCCTTGTTCATGCACAGCATTGTGGGGTCCCTGCAGCCCTGCTCTGCTCTGGGCTGTCTCCTCTGCCCAGCCCTGGCACTGTGGCCCCATCCTTGTCCCGATGCCCAACTCATCTCATTCCATCTACATCCTCGTGCCATCCCATACCTCTTGCCACCCTGGCTATGTCAGCAGCCCATCCTCATCCTATCTCTATTCTTACCTTGTCCCTGTCCTATCTCCATCCCATCCCCATCAGTGGTCCCCATGCTGTTCCCATCCCATCTCCATCCAGTCCCCACTCCATCCCTGCCTAACCTCTGTCTCCATCCTGCCCCATCCTGCCTGTACCCTCACCCATCACCATCCTCATCCCATCCCTGCCTGTGTCCCCAGACCATCTGCACCCCCCATCCCATCTCCATCCCAATCTCATCCGCATCCCATCCCTGTGCTTATCCCCCCGTCCCTTTCCCCATCCACATCCCCACTCAGCACCCGTCCGGTTCCAGGTTGCTCCTGCAACATGCTGGGCACTGACCCCAGCACCTGCGGCCCCCAGCAGTGCCAGTGTGATGTGCGCAGTGGGCGGGCCCCCTGCCTGCCCCATGTGGAGGGCCAGAGCTGCGACCGCTGCAGCCCCAACTTCTGGAACCTGGGCAGCGGGCAGGGCTGCCAGCCCTGTGCCTGCCACCCCCAGCACGCCCTGACACCCGCCTGCAACCAGGTCAGAGAGGGACAGGGCACAGGGGTGGGATGGGACTGGGGATATGCTGCAGCAGTGCCAGCCCCAGCCGCGCTTTGTCTTTCAGTTCACAGGGCAGTGCTCGTGCCGGCCGGGCTTCGGGGGCCGGACCTGCGCCGAATGCCAGGAGCACCACTGGGGCGCAC